ACTGCTTTCACGCCTCTACTGAAAACCTGTGTGCTGTCTACCAATCGTCTGATCGTGGCAAGATTTCCCTATGGCTCATTGTTTTCTACCTTGCAATTTCAGTGTGTTTAACCTTCTAATTGCACCTTTCACCTTGTTGTTTGTGCCACAACATCACAGCACCTATCTAATGATGGCTGTTAAGGCCTTTTACCAACCTGGTAGTTTGCCATGTCAGCACCCTCCACTTTAGAGCATGCTCTGTAGGGCACAAGCACTCCTCCTGTCCCTCTGCTTTTTGTTTTTTTCCCCGATAAGATCTTTCTGTTTAGCCCAGGAGCAGCAGATTGCAAAGCCCTTCAGTGAATTCTTAGGAGATAATTGAAGTGCTGCAGCCTTTGTATGCAGAGGAGGATCAGGTTGGTTATACTCACTGCAGGTAACACTGCATTTCATTCAGCAGCATGTCTGCGCTGGATGTTTGAGCTAGATGTGGTTGCCATTATCTAGTCTTCTCAGCTAGGGTTTTGCTACTTAAAACAGCAATTAGCACATTTGTCATTGCCACAGAGCAACAGACTTCATTCACGCCTGGAGAAGGGGCAGAGGAGCATGAGCAACAGTTGGGTTTGTCAGCCGTGTTCCTGTAATGGCACTGTTTCTGATGTTCTCAGTTCCAAAATTATCTCGCTGCACACCATAGACCCATATAGCTTTGCACTTTACTCTTAGTTCCTTGTCCTTTACTGTGAACTTACCTATATACAAACCATTTTATTTGTCACCTTTTATATTAATGTTATATTTAAAACTGTGGTGCTTGGCCTGCAAAAGGATACTTCAAATCAAGCCAAGGTAAATGCCTCCATAAATACAGTTGCCACATTTATACTGGATTATATTCAAACTGCGTAGAAGGAATGGAATTGAACCAAGAGGGAAAGATTATTTTTATTGCCTATTGCTGTAGGTGGCAAATCATTTCATCTGGCTTGTCTTTTGTTATCAGTACTTGCACTCCTACCTCAATTGCCTTACAAAATTGCAATTTGGAGACAGCAGTTTCACCTGGACTGGTGTTAAGGTGCCTTTTGCCTCTTACAAAATGTATGTGCTGCTGCTTAGTTCCTAGTAAGGCTGCTAGGTTATGTGCTTTAGCTTCATGAAGAATATACAAGAACCCCTGCTGGCTGTGCAGGTATAATTTGGGATACCTGCAGCATGGCTGAATGTGGGTTCAGAACTGAGCCAGTCAAGTTCACTTGGCAATACTTGATAAAACACTTTGATACTTTGATAAAAACAAGGTAAGGCTTTCAGGAAATGACCACACACCTTGCATACCTCACATTTAGGATTACCATTTACATCCTTGTGGAAAAGACACTAAACATTACTAACAGGGAGGCAATAGTATATATTACTGTAACTAATATACAGTGTTCACTTTAGGAGTAAACATAAGTTTTGTTTTCACTACTGTTTCTTCAGAAACAGACACTTGATTTACTCAAATAAAGTATGGACATGATCCAAAAATCAAATCATTACCTATTTTAGACAGATGCATAATCCTGCACCTAATACTATTTTAGCCTCTATTAGCCTCTGTTTCTTGTTTCCATTCTCATCCCCATACAAGGAAGATGGATCTGTGAAAAAAAGATACCAGGAGGCTCTCTATGAAGCTTACATCTTTAACCTCTGCTGGATTTCTGTAATGCAAACTCCTTTTTCCAGCGCAACTGACTAAGGAAAGCCACTTCTTTAGGGATGGATGAATTCATTATACTTCAGTGTGGCTTGTTAGCCACTGAAGCTTCTCCATCATCATACTATTTGCATATATAAAGACGTATATTGTATATTTATACATTCCTTAGATGCATGCTTACCATATATATAATTAAATTATTCTGTTGAAAAAGAACATATTGAACAGTTAACTCTGATAGATTAGGATGTGTATTTCCACAGAGAACAGAAGATGCATGCATTTACCTAAAAGGGAAACTGGGTGTGCAATGTTCCAAAGGAGTGGGTTTTGACCTGGTATATATATGCGGATATTTAAGTAAGATGTGAGATTGGTAAAGGTGATCTGACATAGAATCACAGAACCAAGGATCAAGTCCAGGTCTTGGCTCCACACAGGACTGTATGCTGGTGCACCTCTCTGGAGCGGGTCAGAAACAAATGGGATAGCATTACATTAGTCAAGAATACAGAGCTTTGCTTTCAAATGTAACAATCGCCAGACATTCAAACTTGCTAATATTTTATGTTGAGATGGGAGTATCACTCTGTGCCAGTGCAGTGCTCAGTGGGGATGCTGCACTGCGCCTCTGGGGCTGTGTCGTTGTTATCTTCTCATATTCCAAAGCTCAGTGAGAAGCTTTGTGTCCTTGCTGTACCCTCTAACCAAAAGATATCAAGTGTTAGACTGTCTGCTCTCTGGGGATGTTACTAATAAAGCACTCTCCAGCTGGCTGCCAACCACTGCTTTTTAAAAATAACCAAAACATGGGAGGTTACAGAACCCATTAACCCCAGGACATGTTATTATCCCTAGAACAACAAACATTTTATGAGCTAAATTACAGCTCTGACAACAGTATGTCTTAGAAAATAATGAATTGGGCCCTACAAGTCACGAAGCTGGCTCAGAAGTATCCATTTTTTTCTCAGTGGACTTGAGATTTTCTTTAGTATTCTCCTGATGTCTGATTCTTCACGATTTTCAAGTTTTCAAAAGTTGCTAATTTTCTCCCTGCTTAGACATTGCTCCAGAGCTGGGGCCAGTAAATATTGCAAGATGCCATCGTCTTCTAAATCCCAGTCATTAATTAGTAAGACAGCTTAAATTATATGCAAATTTTCAATACAGATATAGCACCTAAGAACTACAAGATTACTGTCCCTTGAGTGCTATTAGGAGATACGTTGTCGGAGTGTTTCATCCTCCTTCACTGCTGAAAGCATTGTCAGGAAGATGAAATGAAAGTCAATGACAAAGCAGCGTGCACTGATACCTGTCACCTGGCAGACATTTGTCACCCTGATGGGCCAATTGCTCTGGTTCTTTCCAACCAGAACAGCTTTAAAAGGGAATTTTGGTGCCATGCACAGGTGAGGCTCACCTGGAGCCCACAGCCAGCCCTCCCCTCCTGTCACCATGGGGAACGCAGCACCCATGGGCAGCAGCTGGGTTCTGCAGCACTTCTAGCCCCTGGTTTGGATGTGTCTGTCTTCTGAATGGTTCAAAAAATTTCTCTGGTTTAAAGTTTAATTCTGGGGCGTTGTATGTAATTAAAACTTGACATTTGAAGTCATGAATGAGCAAGCTTTGTATTTTAGCTTAGTCTCAAAAGAATATCGGGATGCAGACAGACATGAAATGACTTTATTAAATTAAAAGCTTCAAACTTTCTGTAGGCATGTAGTTTGTGCTGCTGGGAATGGGCTCTTCAGAAATAGCACTCTGGTCCCGCTAAGCTGAACCTTGGCTCTTCTCGAGGGAGGGATGGAATCGGGATGTTCCACTGCAGGAAATAGAGGGCATGAGTCAGTACATCACTAGTGCTTCTCCTTCCCCCAGAATGTGGGCAAGGTCCAGGAAGCCCAGGCTGTTAGCATCAACAGGCCCTGTCTGGGAAGGAGGAAGGCTCCAAAACATTGCTGAGATCCCCTGGAAGCTGGATCTTGTTGACATCTATAAATAGGCAGAATATCTTTCTTTTCACCAATGCCTCTGTGAGGCTGTTCTTACAGTGTTTCATGTGCAGATTCAGCAAGGTATGGAATGATCATGTTCTTTAGTCCAAAAGCCTCCAGGAGAGAGATAGTCACCTGTCGCCCATTGGAAGCCACTAAGTGGGACACAAGTCATTACAGCTGCTGTTTTACTGCCTGACCACAGTCAATGCTGAACCTTTTATGTGCTCGGGAGAGAAAACATCTGTGACACACTGCCAGTGACTGCAAAGCCACAAATGTAGACCTGCTGTCTGCCTCATCTGCCAAGCTTGGAAAAGCAATACATAAAATTAGGCTCCCAAGGCTACCTAAATAGGAAGCCAAATAAATTTAAAGATTCTAAATAGCTTTAGTTATTTTCATGACATCCAAAAAGGAGAAAACAAATGAGTTGCTTGTTTTCAGTGCCCTCGGTCTGTAGTTTAAGGATAATAGTTAAAACCATCTATTTTGACTTTCTGGCCTAAGTAAGACAGGCAGGACTGCAAATGCTGGTTTCAGAATGAAGTGCTGTTTGGCAATGGAATTCTTAACGTACAGTGAAGAGCATCCTTCATTTCTGTCACCAAAAAATTACAAAAAAAAGCCCTGCATGCAGAACTCCTTGTATATATATAAGTCCGTCAGGAAAACATCTTCTCAATTCTCCGGAGCTGAGAAAACAGCAACCAGATCCTTGAGCCATTTATACTTGTCCTTCCCATCAAATCTTTCTCAGCAAATGAGACCAGAGCCCGGAGGGTTTCATAACCAGTCCAGTGAGGTCAGACTCTGTCACCCGAGCTGCACTGAGCCAGCTGCTGGTCTGAAAGCTTTTGAGTATTGTCTGAGAGCAGATTGCCTCCATGTAATGATCTATCCAACTGCGATGGCTTCTGAACACAAAACCTGTGGCATTCTATAATCCTTCCTATCTCATCTCTTTCAGGCCTTTAAAAATAATTTCAAAGTCTTTCCATTCCTATGATATGCCTCTAAATTTAGCCACTTTTTGCTCTGTGTGGACGACCCTTTCTTTCTCCTTTCTGTGCAAGCCCACTAAGATTTTAGCATTAATGGGGTTTTTAATTGTTCTGTTATGAAGCACATAAACACAGAGCCCTTTGGCAAGGGCACACATTAGAAATAAATTGAGTTCTCATCCTTACAATAGAAAAACAAATGCAGTATGGATCTGTCCGTTAGCCAAGGGCATGCTCGCCCCTTAGAGAATGGTACAACCACACGAGCAGACCCTTGTTAGTGACTGCTGTTTGCTTTTCCAGACAGATCTCGCTCTCCTGCCTGCCAAAACTGCTTTTTGATGGCTGCTACTGTAACACGCTGCCGCAGATCAGCCTAGCACTGGATGCCCCTCTGACACTGCTGCCATACTTCCATGGCTCATACATCATCTCCTGCTTGAAGGACTCCATGTGGACACTACTTCTCTGCCCTGCTCAGAACCCAGCTGCCACCTATCTTCCTTCTACACAACACATAGTGTGTAATACAACCCCAAGTTTGAAACAACCTTGTCTTTTGTATGGAAGAATTTACCAAGGATGAAAAACTCCATCTGGATACAGAGCAAAGAATAAGGAATTGTGGTTCCACTGAATTCCATGGGATGTGAGAGCAGTGAGGCTGTAACACAACCTTGCTTTTTCTCCTAAAAGGTGATCCTGGAAACACTGTGATGCGCCAGACTAAAGGAACTGAGATATGGCTCCTGAAAGCCATTCTCAGTGACGGTGGCATGAGGTGCTACTGGCCTTCCTGTATGCCCTGGTGTCCCACTGCAGCAGGGATCTTGGCCACAACTGAGAGGGCAGGAGTAGAGGTGTTCCTCACCTTGTCAGGGCAGAAGCTGAGCTGCAACCTCCACTCACAGAATGAGAAGAGACCTTTACACAGGCAGCAGTGGTATTTCAGGAAGGTGATTTCAACCCCAAGCACGAAAAGCGAATCCCCAAACTCATCTAAGGATGGGCCACTTGGGATTTACATCTCCTGCAGTGAGGAAATGCTTCCCTCAACTTCCCTCAACAAGAACAACTTGCACTTGGAAGTTGTGCTGGGACTGATTGAAGAGATAGACTCACAACAGAACTGTGGTTACTTTATCATTTCATGCACAAGTGATTTCAGCTCCCTGCACCTCTCAGAGTGCTACAGTTACCCATTTGACAGCAAATTTCCCCACAAGGCCGGTTCCCCCTGCGGCTTCCACTGCTTGCCCTGAAGCATCACACAAGGCAGGTGCAGGTTACCAGACATCTTGACTTGGTTCCATGCTCTGTGGTGGCTTTGCAAGGTCATCTGCAAGGGGGGGAAGGAGAACTTAATGAGTTCAGTCAGCAGTGATATGTTGTGGAGAAAGCTGCTGTATAGCATTCCCCTGCACCCACCCTGCTCCCACCTGCACTCAGTGCTCGCTGCAGCACTTGGGCTTTGACAATGCTCCTCTCTTATCTCCACATCTCCTCCCAGGCTGCAGGAGTTGTGCCAGGGCCAGAGACAAAGATACTGTTCTTGCAACTTTGCCATGAACTCATGTTTGTCAGCTCTTGGCCAGATACAGCCATTCCTTACCAGAGAACAGTCAAGGTACAGATGAGGAAGAAATGTCTGAGATCATCAAAGAGAACCACCAGCACTGGTGACTGGCTGGTGTGCTGCAGCCAGACACGTCCCAGGCACCATGTGTCCCCTTCTTCTTACACACCCTTCAGGTTCCAGCATGAGCCCAGCCTGATGGTGCAGCCTGTCAAGTTACATGCTGCATCCTCACCTCCAAGCTCAGTTGTTAAAATTCAGTCTCTGTTCTGGGGGTAGGAAGGAGGCAACAGGAAGAGCCTCCAGCACTGCCTACAGCAGCACAGCAGGAGACAGCACCCAGCCCACTCCTGGCCCCATCTCCCTCACCTCAGCAATTGCCACCTTCCTCTCCCAAGCCTTGATACTCTTTTCCAGGTCAGCAACAGCAATCATTGTCTGCACGTAATTCATCACGGGAGGAGTGCTGTAGTCTGACAGCTGCTTCTGCAACCACCCAATGAGTCTCTCCTCTTTGGCATGTTGCTGCAGGAGGAAAAGTGACAGAGGGCAAGGACAGAGCAGAATAAAGGAGGGACACAATGCGATGTACCCACCCATGTCTCCATCCCATAGGGGGGCTGTCCAGAGCTGTGGTGGCCCAGCCTCCATGTCCCCAGGCTGTGACATATGTGCTACTTCTCACCGGGAAAGACACTGCTGGTGAAAACCTCAAGGAAAGAGAACTTCAAGAAGGCAGTGGATGGACCCTGGAGGGTAAAATCCACAAAGGGGCAAAGCTGGCCATCCCCACCCACAGCAACAGGAGCTCCAGGACTTATTCTCAGTCCCACCAAGGCATGCAGATAGCTGTGGCCTAAAAAAAAGTCCTCTCAAGTGAAGTCTCAGTGATTCCCAAATTGTTATTTTACCTCCTTCACAAAAGCAGTATTTCTTTCGACCTTCTCCAGCATCTCTTTTCTCTGGGAGATGTCTTTCATCAGAACTGTCGATGTTTCCATGGCATTGTGCAGCTTTTTCTGGAACACAAGAGCAGGGCACTGGCAGGAGGTGCAGTGGTAGATCTCCAGTCCCTGCAAAGCCACTGGAGTACTTGGACTGAGGAAGGGAAGGCTGCAAGAGCTGCTGGTAAGCTCATATGTGACCATGGGGAATAGCAGGAAGGACAAGCAGGGGCACTGGGATCTTCACTCACCTTCCAGAAGTTGAGGATCTGGATCTTCTCTAAGGCCAGCTTTAGCTGCTGCAGCTCCTTGTTTTTCTCATCAATCTCCTCCTCATACTGTGCTTTCTTAACCTGCAGCAGCTCTGCGTGGATCTCATGGAGCATGTCTCCCACCTGCTCCTTCTGCAAGCCCAGGGAAACAGAGCTGCTGAGTGCTGACCAAAGCTCAGACTCAAATAAAAGAGCTTTGATTGATGGGGAAAACAGACCTAAAGCACAGGGTTATCTGCCTGGCTGCAAACCTGAGGCTTAAAGAGAAATGTCAGACAGCATGCTGCTGCCCATGTCCCATACTGGGTGTCCAGGCAGCACACACCTGCCTGAGCTGCTGCTGCAGCTTCTTCTTGTAGCTCCTGAGAAAATTGCTTTCTAAGCGCAGCTTCTGTCTCGTCAGATCCTGAAGAAAGAAAACAGATTAGAGAGTGACAGCAGGGATGAGGCAGAGCACCAGGCCCCATGCTTTACTGTGCACTTTCCCTTTGTTCCACCTGCACCACAGCCTTCACACTGCTGCTCTGCCTCACCTGTGCTCACAGGGTTAGTTGCTAAGATAGTCTGAGAATATGAGGCAGCTCATGTAGGGGTATGGGAACCCGAATTTTCAGATGACAGACCAGGCTCAACTTCTGCCATGCTGCACTGACCCTCTGGTGGTTCTTCTCTTCCAGGTATCTCAGCAGTTTCTCAGAAGCTGTGATGCTCCCTTTCTCATTGGAGATGGTACTGACAATGCCTTCCTCAAAGTCACTGACAGCTTTCTTAACATCAGCCCACCAAGCATCTGCTTCTTGTATGACTGCCTGTAGTAATGAAGTCACATCACAGTCAAAGAGAGGTGAAAATCCACAGTGCTGCAGGATGCCTCGATATCCTAAGAGCTGTACCTCGAGGTCGTGCAAGGTCGTCTCCGAATCCTCCTTCATCTTCTGAATGTCACTTTTCACGTCCAGCAGCTCCCGCTCAGCCAGCTCACATTTCTGCTCCACTGTCAGGGCTGCAAAGTAGGCCGATGAACTGCTGCGCAGCCTGGATCTGGACCTGCCACGTGTCTGCAACAATTGAGCAACAATGCAGATGCCAAACCAGCACTGGCCAACTGCTGCTGCATTTTCATGTATTCCCAAAGAAAGTAAGTTAGCGTTTAGATAGCAGAGGAACAACGTGCACTTGGCAAGAGGGATCTGGGTGTGGATACACACAGGTCTGGATAAGCTGGGATGAGGAGAATCAGAGCACCCTGGCATCATCCCCCCTACGTGTTTAGCTTCTCCTTCAAATCACTCAGTGGCAGCCTGGCATGCAGAAGGGTGAGTGAGCCCACATCTACACCTAGAGGCCCAGCACACCTGTTTTCAAGCTGGGGTTGGGGTTAAGTCACTCATTCCAGTCTGCCCCACTCCATACCAGTGCGGGTACCAGCTCTGATGGGGAGCCGTGCTGTGGGACGCCCGCGCTGCTCAGCTGCATCTTATGGTACTGGTTCTGAAACAACTCCACCCTGGCTCTCAGCAAGTCATTGGCATGGCTGCAAAGTGATGGATGTGTACTGTGACAAGAGCAGTGGGAAAAGGAGAACAACCCAATGCAAAGCAGACCCCCCAAATGAGGGAGGATGCAGATCTGCCTTCCATGAGCCGGGTCACAGAAAAGACCCTCAGAGCTGCCCCTGTTCAAACCTGGAGCCCAGGGGCTGCTAGATCCTGGGACGGGCCTGCAGGACGGATCCTCAGGTGGCCAGGGGTGGCTTGGCCTCTGTGTCCTGCCCCCATCCCTGCTTCTGCCCCTGTCCTATTCCTACTCCTGTCCAGTTCCTGTCTCCGTCCTGCCCCTGTCCTCATGTTCAGTCCCTGTCCTTGTCCTGCCCATGACCCTGTCCCTGCCCTTGTCCCATCCTTGTCCTTACCACTGTCTTATCTCTGTCCCGGTCCTTCTCTGCCCCTATCCCTGCCTCTGCCCCTGTCCCTGTTCTTGTCCTGCCCCAGCCCCTGCCCGGCTCCAGTTACCGCCCAGGTTCTGGCCCCGTGCATCCCCTCGCCCCGCCGCCCCCTCCAGCCCGGTGTCCGCAGCCCGCTGACCCCGGCCCGGCCCCAGCCGGTACCGCTTCTGCTCCAGGCGATCCCGGAGCTGCGGCAGGGGCAGCGCGGCCAGCTCCTGCTCCGCCATGGCGCGTCCTGGCAACGGCGGCACGGGGGGGAGCAGAGGGAGGGGAGGGCAGGACGGCTCGCGGAGCTTCCAACGGCCATCGATCGGTTTCGTTTGTTTCTCTGCTTGCTGGCGCCCACGGGTTTCTCTCTTTCTCATTCATTTTGCAGAGTGGAGGTTTTACCAACCCAAGCAGGGGAAACGGACTGCGCCCGGCGCTGTGCGAGCCTGCACCACGGCAGCACGCCCCAACAGCGGCAGCGCAAACCCCCGGGGGCTCCGCTCCTGCCCTCGGCCAGGCGTGCGCTCGCGGCACTGACACCGCATTCGCTTTGCTCACCAGCGCGTACGCACCGAGGCGCACGCAGGAGCGCACACGCACATTTCCATCATTAGTCACCGCTCCAACTCCGCGAGCCAAACCGCGGCCCGGGGGTGCTCGGGGCTGCGGTTTGGCTCGGGGCCGGGCTGAGCGCGGCGCCGTGCGGCATTCCCTTGGCAGCCCTCGGCGCTCACAAACGGCTCCGCCGCGATCCCCGCGTCGCGCCGCGTGCGGGTGACGGGCTGGGACGGGCGTGACGTCAGCCGCCCGGCGGCGGGGGCGCGGCAGGCGGACCTCCGCGCCGCCGGGGGGCGCCGCAGCGGACGCCTCTCGCGGCGGCGGCGGCGCGGACGCGCGGCGCCGTTTCCGGGTCGGCTGCGCGGCGCTCGGGGCCGGCCCAGGCTGCAGCCGCCGGCACCGGGCCCCGGCCTCGGCTCAGCTCCGCGCCCGCCGCCCCGGGCCGGCCCCGCCCCGCCCGGCCTGGCCCTGCCGCCGCCCGCCGCCGCCCTCCTGCGCGCCGCGCCCCGCCTCGCCGGCCTCCCGCGCCGGCCCCGCGCCCTCCTCCTCCTCCTGCAGCCGCCGCCCGGCGCCGCCATGCCCGGCCCGGCCGCCGGCAGCCGGGCGCGGGTGTACGCCGAGGTGAACAGCCTGAGGAGCCGCGAGTACTGGGACTACGAGGCGCACGTCCCGACCTGGGGGTAAAGCGCCCCGCGGGGACCCCTGCCCCGGCCGCCGGCCCTCCGCGGCCCACGTGAAGCCCCGGGAACGGGCCGCGCCCCGGGGTCCCTCTGTGTGGAGCGGGGGGCGGGGGAGGCGGCGGGACGGGCCGGGGAGGGGCGGCCACGGGCAGGGCTGGAGGCCCTCAGCCGCCCTCCTCTCTGTGTTCTCCGTGCCCGCAGCAACCAGGACGACTACCAGCTGGTGCGCAAGCTGGGGCGCGGCAAGTACAGCGAGGTCTTCGAGGCCATCAACATCACCAACAACGAGAGGGTCGTCGTCAAGATCCTCAAGGTGAGTGTCCGGGCAGGGCTGGAGCGCCGAGGCCTCTGGGCTCTGTCTCACCTTCCCGTGATGGATGTTTGGTTGCCGGACGGTGGTTGGGGTTTTGGAGCTCCCAACACTGTTTGCTCCTGGCTGAGGGCTCCCCTGGAGAAGGAGCGTGCAGAGCTCTGGTGTTGTTACAGTGCTGTGTGCTGCCTGCGTTGGGCAACTGGTGGCTGGCTGTGCCTGTTGCAAACAGCCCAAGAAGGCCATGCCAACAGGAATGCGGAGCCTGCAGGGGAATCCTTCTGTCAGGCTGCAGACAGCTGGCACGCAGCCGCCTCGCAGCCCGGCCACATGCTCCTCACAGTCTGACCCTGAGGTGCTCATGAAGCACATAGAAGTTTGTATTCAGTGCTGCAGAGGATCTGTTACATGGGGGGGAATGTCACCTTGGAGAGGCCAGAAATACCATGAAAATCTGAGGGGATGAACACAGACCATTTGTTGCTCAGTAGGATCAGTGGGGTGTGTTCTGATGTGTTCATCCCTGCAGGTTGGGCTGTGGGGACCTTTCTGTAGCTGTATCAGGTTGTGGGTTAGGATGGTGTGGAGTTATCTGCTGTAAGACAAGCCTTACTGTGGAATAGTGGAGTCACAGAGAACTGTGGTAGCCATCCTAGCAGCAGTCTGTATCAATGATGTGGGATGGGAGGTGTTTAAAAAAGAAACAACGAAAAAAACCCTAAAGGTTACAGTTGAGGTGCTTTTGGTTTTGGTTTGGCTGACACTTGTGGCTGTCAATTGTTGGACCAGCAACATGTGTCAGTTTTTTGCCTAAAGCACGTGGAACCAGTTTCTGGTCATGGGTGTATGAAGGATTCAGGCACGTGCTGATCTGCAAATTACAGGGGGGTCTGAGCTTAACCTGCCTCTGCAGCCAGTGAGGCTGGCAGATTCCTGGGACGAGGGTCTGCAGGGCTGAAGCCCTGAGGTATTTGCTGGCTGCACTCTGATAGCATGGCTCACTGGTTGGCTTTGTGACGGCTTCCCCGCTTCCACACTCACTTGCCGTTCCTGCTTCCTTGGGATCTTTCTTAGCTTCTGAGGGAGCTTGCCCTGCTGTATGCAGCTCCTAGGCGAGGAGTGAACTCCCATCCTGGCTGCCTCTGGAAGGACTGAATGGCAGCCCTGCCTTGGTAGCAGCTGAGGTAGTGTCTAGTTGAGCCCTCAGAGACAGCCCCGCAGCTGAGCCTGATGGCAAGGCTCTCATGTTCTTGCTGAACTCTTCTGGTGTACTGTGGGGGCCTCCCCGCTTTGGTGCTTTATGTATTTTTTGGTTTTCATGTGGTTTCTGTTCTGAGAGAGAATAACCAGTGCAGAGCTGGACTTGATGGCAAGATAGCTCATAGTTATGCTGAGGAAACTGTACTTCTGCATGCTGCTCTGGAGCCCCTGGTTGTTTCTTTGGGACTACTGTGGTATGTTGAGAGTCCAGGCCTTGCTCTGCATGATTAGAGGCACCATGAGGCAGAGAGGCTGCAGGGAAAGTCATCAGAAATATTCCTCGTTCCTTCCTAGCAGCCTAAAGAGCCTCCCCTGGAGCAATGCTGCCAAACTCTGACATCCCCAGGGAGCCCATCAGCACAGAGCTGTGAGTCAGCCAGCGAGAGTCATCTGAGGGTGGCTGGGTGCTCCTTCTCCCTGGGGCCTGAATGCATTGCCACAATGCTCCTGTTCCGTAAGTAGGGGATGAGCTTGGCCCTGATCTGGAGTTGGTGGTGTTGCCACTAGTTCCCTGGCTCCCCCCACTTCTATTAGCATGCAGGCAGCATTCCTGCGAGTTAGCAAGGGAAAGCAGAAAGTCCAGATAAATAGATGAACTTTCTTAGTGGAAAGTGGGTCAGTGAGAAGTGAGTTTCGGAGCACTGTGTTGTATATCTTATGAAAACTTGCAAAGTGTGGCAATAACATCACTGTGATCTGTGGAAAGTGCCTCTGGTTTCCTGTAGTGAGACTCAAACTTAATTGCAAATGTAATTACATGTATCTTCGGTCTTAGCAAATAGGCTGGGCGTGCCTGCTGCTTGTAATTCCGGCTGGGTTCTCTGAGGTGGGAAATGCAACCAAGTTACAAGGTTCTGGACTCAAGGAGGGGTGAGACAAGGAGAAAAAGTGTTGCTGGTGGACATGGCTGTTCAACATAGTTGTTCTTTGCTATTTAAGGCTCATGGAGAGAACAATTTCTGTTATGTGTTAAGGGTGCTCTTAGCATCTGTGCCTCATCTGAAGTGACTGCTATCTTCCCAGCCTTGCTTTGTGAAGCGACTGGTTCTTAATGAGCTCCAGCTAACATGAGGCCTTTTTGCTCCCCTTCTTTGGTTGTTGTACCTGAACATCTTGTACCTTCCTTCCGAGAGGTCAGGAAATTTTACCACCCTTTCACAGATGCAGAAGTGAGCCACAGATTTCCTGTGTGACTTTGGGCAAGTCCCTTAGCCTCAACAAAGCTGAGACTAAAGCATGGGTCCCAGCCTGGTGCTGTGCGAACAAGATGAACTGCTCTTCCTCTTCTGGAGGCTAATTGCTTTGTTTATTCAAGTGTCCTGTGCCTTCAGCCTTGGACAAGGCTGGGGAGCTGATGGCTTTGATAGGTATCACAGTGCCCCAGGCCTCTTGATCTTGCATCAAGCGTGGTGCCCCATTTCCCTGGCATTGCCTTCCTGTGCTGCTACCTGAAGTGCAGGTCCAGGCGGAATCCTGCAGGAAAATGGGTTGTGATCATGCCCCTGGTTGTGGTAATAGCATACATCAGCAAAGGAGCACCATTAAGATCATACAGATGTCTGTAATGTTACCATTTCTTGGGTCAAGTGCCTCGCTTTGAGAACGGGATGTTCTTAGTGCCACTTCTTTCCAGGAAACTTCTGTAGCTCTTTAAGAAAAAAGCAAACAGAGCCAACAGATTCCTTCTTCTGCTGCTGCTGGATGTCAGGTTGTGCTGTGTATGATGTACCCCACAGATGCCCTGACAGCATCCTCCAAAAGCAAGGCAGAGGGCAACTGCTCAGCTTTACAACCTGTTCAGAGAGTAAAGATTCTGCAAAAATAAAGAGTCATCTTGGCACAGCGCAGAGCGCTCAGTGCCATACACAGCTGTGTGCCTCTCACAGCCCATAGGGCATGGAGGCAGCCTGCAGCTGTGCCCCTGCGCTCTGCAGCTGGTGCAGTGGGCTCCTGTGGGCTTTTTGATCTGGCTGACCATGGTGCAGCTGTGGACACACTTCTGGGTGCTTAGGGGAGCACCGAGCCAGGAAGAGGGTGTGTGTGCTTTTGTGTCTCGCTCGTATTGATTTGATGCTCATAGTTGGCTTCTGGGTTGTTGGCACCTGGCATTCTTCTGCATGTATGAAGGAAGCTTAAGACATCTTTGTTTCCTGTGAGCTCTGTACTGTGGGTGGCTGTGGTGGGAATGCTGTTAAGTCACCTGCAGCTGTGGCTGCTGGGAGCTCCAGCCTTTCACAGCCGTTCCCTTGCACTGAGTGTGTGCCCAGGGTGGGGATCATGGCATCCATACTGCCAGCTCTGTACAGGGGTTGTCCCATGTGCTGCACCCATGTATGTGTCTACGTACAGCTCATTTGCCTGAGACCCAGTAAGCCCATCATGGAAAGGCTATCTCCATGGTTGGCTGCTATCAGAAAAGGTAAAACAGGTGAGGGAAAGGGCATGGAGTTACAAGGAGAGGGTTTGGAGGCGGTGCTGGAAAAGCCCCTTTCCCTTTGGTGGCTTTTGTCCCCCTGTGCTGAGTCCACAAACTGGAACTTTCAACCATGTCTGCAGTTTCACAAGTGCATTCTGGTTTGTTTGTTTTTCTTCTCTTCCCTGTTCTGTGCTCTGTGAGCCCTCCAGAGCCACCATTCACACCTGGGGCTGCAGCAGCATCCTTTTGGTGCTGAGCTCAAATTGCTGCTCTGGCAGCTGGAGAGCCATTTGGAGGAGATAGCCCTTTGGCTCTGCTGATTTTTTTGCTGTCTCTGAAAGCCCTTGTGTATTAGCGTGCTCTGGGTGGGGGCTGAAAGGCCTGCTGTGCTGCATGCAGAAAGGATTGCACAGGGCAATGATTGACCCTCAGGGCTGGAGCTTTTGCCTGCATCACTGCCCTTCCACCACTGCTCCACTGCTGGGAGCTTTCTGTGCCTCTCACTTCTTCTGCATTTGTACTCACTGAATCAACTCCCGGCCCACTTCCTCCTCTGGCAGGACTGAAATGAGCCTTTTTGCAAGAGAGCTGCACTCAGCTCCGCTGTTCCCAATGCCAACTGCCCACACCAAGCTTGGCACAGTCAGTAGCATGAGCCCAGCCCTGTCTGGAGCTGGGACCCCCTGGAGCAGTACTGGTAACTCCCACAGCTGTGTTTGGATGCAAGGAACTGGTGAGCAGCAAAACAGCAGCTACTGTGAGGAGGAGGGTGAGCCCTAGAGGACTGTTCCAAGGATGTGCTTTGTGGGAGGAAAGGCATCCTCAAAATCCTTGCTGACGTATTCTACCTAAACTTGAATCAAAAAGCAAAGGTGCTATAGTAGTTTCGGGGTGGGTTTATTTATTGTTTTTTTTGCCTCTTGTAAAATTGATGAGCAGCTCAGGAGAGGAAAGTTTAAATTCTGGTATTGAAGTTGTAAAATGCAAACAACTCACAGAATATTAACACAAGTGGGCTCCTTCATTTTCATCGCTTTTGAAAATGATTATTTGGTTTCCCAGCTGATGTCTGACAAAATAAGCAATCCTGCTCCAAAGGCAATTTTCCTATTGAGCAATTGGCATGGGGCTTTATAGGTTGATTATTATGATCCTTTCAATACCTGCTAGGAACAAATGAGCTTCTGGAGCCTCCATTCAAACGCTTAAAGCCTGTCTAAGGATGCTGCTGGTCCTGGGCTCTGTGTGCAGAGACCTGCCTGCTGCTTCATTGCAGTGCTGTGGTGATTCTGGGCTATTCAGGTTTGGTGAGCAATGAGTAGAGCTTTTTTTGTTATTGGGTGGTGGGATAAATGACTCTTGTTTTTCATGGATTCATATCTTTTGTCTGCTAATCCTTCTTCCCTGCTGTGCTAAGGCTAGTTCTTTTCAGAGCACCTTCTGTGACTCCTGCAGAGCAGCATGGATGCTTCTCAGCTTGCAGGACACATGCGCTGTCTGCTTTTCACTAACGGGAAATGAATGCTTTGAATTTAACTTGGATCTCACATGTCTTCCTGATTACTGCTTTTCTTGCTAACTTGGTTTAAAAAATGTCCTCATTTTGCTTGAATTCAAGCGCCAGGTCCCCAGCTTGGTGGAGATGACTGCAGCTGAAGAATGATAGATGTGTGCTCCACTTGCTGCAGAAAAAACCAACAGTTGATTAGCCAGGCACGCATCTATTTGTTCAACACAGGAAGTGATGGTTGCAATATTGAATCTAAAGGTTTATTTTAGCAAGCAACACTAGTTCTCCCAGCTGATGTTTGCTGCAGCTAAACTCCTTCCTTGCTTATACTCCCAGAATGTGGCCCAGGATCTGATTTCTGTTACAGAGTGGGTTTTTCTTCTGCACTTACCTGTCTGCAGAGCACAGCTTACCCTGTGCCATTTCCCTCCTGCACCCTGAACCCACCCCCATCACTGCCTGTCCTGCCCTAGCTAACTTTCAGCAGGTTGAAGCAACCACATGGTTGGGAGAGTGGGAATCCTGCTGCAGAGGGTGCCTTGCTGGGGGCAGGGCAGGTGTGGGGTCCAGCAGGACCATCCTGCTGGCTACAGGTCACCATGTCCCTCTGCTCTGCCTGGTCAGGCACTGGGCAGCCATAGGCTGTATGTCCCCACTGTCTGCAGCCATCTGACTTCCAGCTTGGCTGAGAAAGAAAGCTATTTCCTGGGAAACTGGGAAATTGTGCTAGGCAGTCAGGTTGCTCTGAGGGTGCTGCTGCAGTTGAAGCAGTTAAACCCCACCCAGTATAGACATGGTTAAAATGAGACATGTCTTTTAGCCTGGTTTCCTATGGAAACGAGCCTTATGCAATCCTGCTCTCTGTCAGCCTTCTCCCCCTCCCCCTGGCTGGCCAATCCCAGCTGAATGCAACTGTTGGGTTCCTATGAATTTCATGGACATAGGTGCTAGCACAGAGCACAGGTGTTTGCTTAGAGCCTGTCTCACAGGGTTTGACTCATATTGGTCACTAGAGAATCCCAGCTCTTAGGGAAGCTTTGATATGCCTCTACCATGGAAGGGGGCAGATGGAGTTGGAGTCTGCATCTTTCTATAGTGCTGTCTCCCAAACACAGGCTGCTCAAACTCAGGTAATGGTACCTGGGTGGCTCCATGGGAAATACCTCTCCCAGGATGTGATTGAGCCATGCAAGGCATAAGCTGCATGAAACACTGCTGTTCATATCGTAAAACTGCCTTAAATCAGTGCCGTTCAAATACTCTGCACTGCAAGGGCTGCTGTTTTAGGAGCTTTTCCTGCTGGGAGAAGCAGATGGTTGGAGGCCATAAGAGCTTCACATTTAATCCGTGTGTGTTTGGAGTCAACACCCTTGGAGAGACGGATCGAGTGACTCCGAGAGACAGTTGTAGCAACCCAGGTTAATCCTGGTGCTTGGAGGATATGTTGTTGAGGGCCTGGGTTTTTGGCAGCGCTACAGGATGGGGATGGGACAGCAGCAGCAGTGTGCTGGAGTGGTTTGCACCAAGGTCTTTGTGTTGCCAGGTTGGATAGTGCAAGAGCCCAGGCTTGGAATTGATTATTGTGGGAAAATGGAGCTCCAGTAGAGTGCCTGGGTGGCAGATGGTGTTTGTGGTTATGGCTGCAGTGATGTGGGTAGGGGATGGCATGTTGTTGGGTAGGTTTGTGGGGAGAAAGCTGTGCTGGGGAGGCAGCAGTCACCACTGCTTTCTCCTGCAAATCCAAAATGGGGAATCCTCTGCTCCCTTGCATTGTCTCCAAGGGAAACTTCGAGGCAGTAACTGTTTCTCTGATGCAACGCTTCACCCCATGGCATCTCTCCCTCCCACATCCCTATTTCTGTAGTGGTTGAAAGCTGATGGCCCTGCAGGCAGTGGAGCTCACAGCTGGGTAAAGCAGTTCAGCCATGTGTAGGCAGCCCAGACCAAGCCCTGTGCTGCTGCAGTCCTCCAGCCCTGAAAAAAGTGGAAGCACACAGGAGTGGTAGGCTGGGGAGAAGACATCTTCTTTCCTTAGGGGAGTGGTGGTTGCTATGGAAGGAGGAATGGAAATCTCTGAGGGATGTTGTCCCTATGTAACTGATGCAGAAGGCCCTTGAAATAACTGCAGTGCAATGGAGAAGGTCTTTCAAAGCAGGCAGCGGGTTCCCTTGGCTGATGGCACAGCAGAGCAGCTCTGAGGGATGCGTGCAGGAGTGTGCTGGCAGCCAGGCTGCTCCCTCTTTGAAGGTCCTTGGAAAACAGCTTGTGTGTGCATCTGTCTTTGCTGGACGAGCAAATAACTGAATTATATCCTCTAATTCCACCTTGGCCTTCTGGTAAGATCAGTGGATGTGGGCAATGTAAGGGTGGTGTCTGTCGCCGCACTGACGTCGATGAAATTAGTCTGTAATGAAGCATCTCCAGCTCAGGTTCAGAGACAAAGCCCTCATTCCTGCTGCCTTCCAGCCCTGCTCAGGCTGCTTTCCGTGTCTGTCTGGCCTTAGGCTGGCTGTGTCTCAGGATTGCCCTGCATGTTTCCTTGCCCCCTCCCCAGCAGAACCTGCTGTGCATTGCTCCAGCACTGGCAGCTGCGTGGCCTTGCTGCCATTTTCCACAGTGGCTTTATGAGGTGCTGACGCTCCCTGTACATAGCATAGGTGTTATTTTTGGCACTTTACTTTGGACTGAGATTCTCATCTTTTGGCTGGAAGGCCTAGCTCCTGCCTTTCAACTTGGAGGAGGAGAGGAGGATTTCAATCTGAAGGCTGCAGCTACCTGGAGAGCCTCGACAGACAGCATATTTTGCCACTTACATAAATGCCATATTTTCTGACTGTATGAAAAGCTTTGGTTCCTTCTCCCATGTACGTTCCTTTGAGTGGTCTGAAACCAAGGATTGTCTAAAGTGGGTGTGAGCTGCCACGTCACTCTGCAGACATCACTGGAGCGTGGGAGGCTACAGCAGGGGGGAGCTTGCTGAGTTCTCAGGGCTCCTCATGCCCTGCACAGAAGGTCACCATGACATCTTGTCACTTGGGTAAGGTGCCTCTGACCTCTCCTTACTGCCCTCCTTGCTGAGCGGCCGCCATGCTGGATGATGAATGCTTCAGAAAGCTGAGTGACTGGAATAGAGAGTTTCCCAGTGCAAGAAGTTTAGTCATCCTTCTAAGATGTCTCTGTAGCTTTCTGTTAGGGTAGCAGAGGTGCAGGAGGAGCTTTGCAGGGAATGAGGACTGCTGGAGCCAGCAGCGGTGTGCAGCCGGCGATGCCCATCCTGGTCTCTGGCCAGGGCTTAAGTAAAGTCTCACTTCGGAGCTGCTGCAAGCTGCCTTTCCTTTCAAGCAGGCACAGAGCTCAAGTTGTCTTGGGAGTGGATGAGCTACAGAAATGGTCATTCCTTTGCGCTGAAATGAACCGCTGGATCAGCAGAGTGTGAAAGCTCTCCCAGCCTTGGGAGCAGCTGTTCTTTGTCACTCTGTGCACCGTGATGTCCAGAGAAATGCTTACTTTGCAAAGGGAATTCCTGGGGCTGTATGGAGTAGGAGTCAAAAACTGTTTAAAATGTCTGTATGCTTTGAGAATAATCACAATACACAGATGCAATGGCATGCCTTGCAGCTGGGTCCCTGCTCTTGGGGTAGCTGTGAAACACTCTTTCACAGAGTGAGGCCCAGCAGTGTCTGAGCTTACTGGAGATCGTGGTGTTGGAAAGCCTCATGTTGTCCCTTCAGTGTGTTAAAGTACTTCAGAGGAATGCACCTTTTAATAAGAATAAAAAACATAAATGTTTTGTGCTAAAGCTGAGGTATGAGGTCTGCCCTTGTTTGTCTGCTGTCTCTGAATGCATAACACACAACTGCCATGTGCAGTCCACTGTGCTTTGAACCACAGTTACTGGAGTCACAGTGATGTTTGTCTTGAGTGGTTTGACTTCCCCTGGTGGGTGGGAAACTTTTACTTAAGAAAGGGAAATCCTCACTCGTTCAAGGTGTCTGTCTTCCTTTTGGAGTTAAAAATGTTCCATAGGGAGAGCAGGAGGAGAAGTTGTGGGATACAGTCAGAACATTGGCAGAACAAGTCAGTGTTAATGTCTGAAAGGACTCTCACTTCTAATTGCTTTTGTCTATTTAAGCCAGTGAAGAAAAAGAAGATAAAACGTGAAGTTAAGATTCTGGAGAATCTGCGTGGTGGCACCAACATCATTAATCTCATTGACACTGTCAAGGATCCAGTGGTAGGTACCTGTGGTGCGGTGTGGGTGGTGGGCTTGCCTTCCTTTTGGTTGTGTGCAAGGTTCTTGTTTGTTTCTCTCTGTGGTCCTCAGGCTGCTCTACACACCGGGGAGTTTCCTTTGGCTGACCAGAGAGAAATTTTGTACCCTCCAAATTTACTGTAAGAAAGCAGAAACCATAGCCTTTTGGCTTCCGTCTGGCACCTGGAACATAAAAGTTTTGCTGGGCAATTAGAAATTAAGCACTTCTCATTCTGCCTGCTGTCCTGTCTAGTGACCAGAGGTCACATCCTCTGTCTGCACTGCCACAATGACCCCACTTGCAGGAAGTTTTCTGTGAGCAGCAGCTGGCGGAAGGCTATGATTCCCAGCTTGCTAGCAGCCATGGAGAGGAAATGATGCTGCTGTAGTGTTTGTTGGCAGTCCTGGCTGACCATCTTCCTGCTGCTGGCTGTGAGACTTTAGCCCCCACTGACACCTTTTGCCTTGTCTGGTGCATTATCTGACTGGGGGTGTTAGGGTAATGCTGTGTTTTAAACCATGACACGCTCTCTCTTTCAATCTTGCAGTCAAAGACCCCTGCTCTGGTGTTTGAGTACATCAATAACACGGATTTTAAGGTGAGTCTGCCTGGGTGTGGAGGGGGAAGGCCTCCCATTTCTGTTGAAGTAGCTCAGTTCTTGGGTTGTCAGATACTCCTCAAGAGCTGTGAGGAGTTTGGGTCTGTTCTCTGTGTCAATTTCACCTCCTTTTCTTCACATAAATGAGAAACTCATGAAGTTCCTAAATAGGCTGCATATGAGAAACAGTAAAGGGCTTGTGTGCTGAATCTCCTCCTGGCTTTGAGGGGTAAGCTCAACAGGTTAGAACTTCTAACTCCCCTCTCAACTCACTAATCACCACTGTGCTATATATTCAGCCCAGACAAGTGCCCATACTGTGATGCTCTATTTACAGCAGTGCAGTTGGTGGAGCAGATTACAACTGTTTGTGCTAGAACCTTTCAGGCCTGGGGACAGTGAGGTGGCTGAGGCTGGAGCAGGTCTCCTGCCGCAGTGAACCTGGTAGCAGGAGGCTGAGCAGTCCTTGGCAGCTCTCTGCTCGCCCAAGTCTGCAGCACATCCTGCTTTCTAGGAAGCTCCAAGTGGAATCACTCCTTTACAGAGCTGGGAGTCCTCCTCTCTGAGCACAGCTACAACTGCATGGGCTGCTGAAATGCTTCTGGCTGGCAGAGTCAAAATGATACACAAAAGGAATATACCATTAGCAAGCACACCTATTTTAATGATATCTTTGAATCTTTAAGTTATTGTCAGTGGTGGAAAATTAACTGAGCAGTTACCATTAGAAAGCTAGGCATCACCTCTTCCTCCAGTGCTAAGAGATCTCCTCTGTTTCATATTATAGGACAGTGCTTTTTTGCTCCTGTCTGTGCTGGAGAGTTATGAAGACATGCATATTCTAGAGTGCAGCTTTACCAGATGCAGCAAATACCTGGAAAGAGACTCTGGGTTGGTGCTGGTGGGAAGGACAGACATTGTGACTTTGCCTCCAGGCTGTATGCATTACAGGCCTGCATGGTGTGAGGCAGCACGTGTTGTTTTCATTTCCCTGGAGTTTGTCAGACAAGGCGAATCTCACCAGTGAGAGCTGCAGCCATTCCGGCGGTGTTCTTAGTGCTCCTTAATCTCATGCAGAGACTTATTAGATAGGCTAGAATAGCAGTCACTTGCAGGAGCATCTGCCTTGACAGCTCTGGGCAGGGAGATGAGTGTTGCCTCCAAGTTAGCAGCCAGGAGAGGAGTTCTTTGTGCTGACCTTCAGGGCTAATTAAAGCAGGCTTGGTCTGTCGGGGTTTTGTTGGCATCAGCTGGTCTGCTGCAGCACTGTGTATGTTGGGAATGTGCCCCTTTCCTTCTCCTGGTGACCCAGGGACTCTTAATAAGGCGGATTGAGGAAGTTTTTAACTTGATATGTTGTTCGTTCTTCAACTTTTTAATATATGACTTGAGACATATAACAGATCATAAAGGCAGCAGCACATCTTGCTGGAGGTTGCTTTTTGTATCCTAATCTAAATACCATTACACCATTCTGTAGTGTCCTTAGAGGAAAACTTTGTTGTCAGAGATACCGTTCAATAACTGAAGTATGTTCGTGAGATAGAGCATTAAATAATGACTTGAGATTGTGGCCATCAGGGACTGACTGAGAAACGCCAAGCTTAGAGCATGTGCTGAAAGTTCTTCTGCAGCTGCCAAGGCAACGTTGGTCTGGCCATGGCAGAAGTGGCAGTACTCAGCTCTGACTGTTGCATTAGAAACAAGTGAATGATTTTGCTGTGGATCATTTCTAGGCTTCTAAGATCCTGACTGTTCAAGGATGTCTGTGCTTGTAGCTGTGCAAGTCCAAGACTGGAAGTATTGATGCTTTTGTCTTATGTGATCAATGTAGAGCAGGAATAACTTGTCTTGGGAATGCAGGCATGTCCCCCAGGGCATGCAGGATGGCTGCTTATGTTCAGGGCTTATTTGTAACCCAAACTTCACCAGCTTCATGTGGGGCATGTGGGTTGTTCTAGCAATACTTGTGTGAGCTGCTCTATTTGGGTGGGCTCTTCAGGCTGCAGCTGGCTGACAGACTGCAAAGCTGCAGCTGCATGGGGACTGAGGACACCTTCTGCACAGAGATTCCAAGGCTGTCTTCCTTTGCTCTAAAGTGCCAAGCAGGAAGCACAGAGAGTAGATGAGAACACTAGTGTTAGGTGTCTGCACATGAAGCAGATGGAGTGCGCACAGTGTCATCATCTTTCTGTTGTCCCTTCTGCCCCAGCATTCTGGTCTCCCTGGAGCTGAGAGCCCCACAGGCTGATCCTGGTGGGAGGGACCTCTTCTCATTTTGGGCTAGATTTTGGATCTACCTTTCCCTGTGCTGACTTCTAGAGTGAGCAGTACTGGTGAGAGCCTTACTCAGCAATCACTGCCAGTCTGAGCCATGGCTACAGACAATTCCAAGCTGTGCAGTGCAAGCTGTATCCCAGCAGGTTTGACTATTTTGACATGCTGGTATAGACAGGATGCTTACATGATACTTTTGTAGATCCGACTGTGTTGCCTGAAATTAGCTGGCGGGGTTCATCCTAAACCTGCCTGTTCTGCAATCATGGGAGTAATATTTGGAGCTAGAATAAATGTGTATTGTGCTGTATGAGAAAGGCAGCTAGTTGCATGCAGCTTCTCTGCAGACCTGTTGTGTTACTTGTCATCTGGGAGTGCTCCAGCTACCCACATTCATTTGCCTTAAAACACAGTGGTGCTGCAGAACCATGCAACCAAGTCAGTAAGCATCAGTGAAATGAGAGGTCTTTTCCTAATCGGTTTCAAACCTGAAATGAGACATCTGTCCTTCAGCCACCATAAGCTGTAACTTATAAAGAGGGATGCTACCTTCAGCAGCCTCCCCTAGGTGCACTGATGCTGCCAGGTGAAGCTGAACCCTGCTGGCAGAGCTTGGCCCTGGGTCACGCCTCACAGGGCCATGTGCAGCTGAGTCAGGGAATGGTGCCCTGCTGTAGTTTGTGGTGATGTTGGTTCTGCTCCTTGCTTGTCCTGCTTCACTGGGTTACTCACAGGTGCTGGGATCATCCCAGATAATGAAAATAAAATACAGCTTGCACCCTGGAGGCCATTTAAGCTCAGTGTGTGTAAGTGACACTCGTATGCTGCCAAGAGCTGTACTGAGGATGCTGGGTTTGTTTGAATATGGCTCTAAGCATGACAGGATCATGAGGATCTCGCCTTGCACCTGGAGAGGATCCAGGGCCAGAACAGCTCTCTTGGAATGTGAATTTCAATCCCTTGCTGTGGGATTTCTCCCGGAGCTGCCAGGTGGTGCCCTTGATGAGCAGTCAGCTCTGATGCTGATTCAGGCGGTGATTTCACTAAACTGTGAGATGATCCTTGTTTGTTAGAAAGGACAGAGGGGCCCGGTCCTACTGCTGTCCCATGGATTTCCTTCCTGGCCCAGCTCTCCTCTCAGTGCCCTAGTGTCTCCTTGCTTTCACCAGACAAGAGCACAGCCTGACAAGACCAGATTGACACAGCTGCCAAGGTTGGATACAGAGCAAAAGGCAAATCCAGGGATCAGTTGTGACCTGGTGTGGGAGCAGCAGGAAGATGTGGCTGTTAGTGACTCTGTTGGTTGCCCAGTGGAGGTTGAGGCACACCCTCCACTTGTTTCTGCCTCACTGTCTCCTCCTCAGACAGACAGCTTGGCAGTCTCCTGCTGGAAAGAAATTATGATGTCTGAATGATCCCAGTGGCTTTTCATGGGAGCTCCTGCCTCCTTTCTGGATTTCCTACCATGTAACCCTGGCAAATCTGAACCCAGGATGGCCTTTGGGAATGGCATTGTTGACTAGGATGTGGAAAGGGTTGCTGATTGGAGTCAGGTGGGGTGCAGGAAATGACACTAATACAAATCTTGAGTATTTAATTTTATTTCTCTTTTTTTTTTCTCCCTCCCAAAATCTATTTCAGCAACTGTACCAGATCCTGACAGACTTTGATATTCGGTTTTATATGTATGAGCTGCTGAAGGTGAGTGGCATTGCATATGACAGCTGATGCAGAAGCCAGGAATGAGAAAGGCAGTAGCTAAGTTACTGGGACAGTACTATTAAGCACTTACCTCTCTTGTATCCAGTGCAGAATCACAGAATCCATATTTTATATCCAGAGAAGGTTTGGGAAGTGATCTGATATCCTGGCTTACTGCTATCAGGCATTAGAGCCAAACTGGGGATCTTGAGCCACCTCTGAAATGTCTGATTCGCTGGGGATTATTCTTTCCTTGGGAAGTGTGACTGCTGGTGGCCAGCTGGGGCTGGGCTTTCCCTTCCTGTGTCTCTAGCACTGGGCAGGCTGCAGTGAGGACAGCCTGCTCCCTCCCAGACAGAGCCAGTACAAGCACTGAGAGGAAAGTACTTTGTTCAACCTGTAGAGGATCTCCAGTGCTGCAGATCCCAGGGCTCTAACTGCCCTATTGGTTGTGAGGCCATGACACATTGCAAGGATATTCCTTGTGGCCTTGCTGAGATTGAAGCTGTTGCTTCCTGCTGTGGTGGGGACACAAGGACACATTACTCCCTGGCAGTATGTCTTGCATATTGAATGACTGCAGGCTGTGCCCTGTTCCCGTGGCACTGGAGGTTTCAGTGCACCTGATAGACATTGATGGATGGGTCTCCCTTCCCCTTGTGGTCAACAAAATATTCTAAACTCCTTGCCTGAGGGAACAGCTGCATGGGAGGAGTGCGTGGTGCAAGGTCATGGAACTGAAGAGCTTTTGTGCTTTCCTGCCTTCAGACTTTAAGAGCAGTGTCAGTTTTCCTTGTGTGCCATCACCTGCCTTTTTGTGCTCTCTGGTTTAAATGAGCAGAGTAGAGGTTATTATCTAGCTTAAGTGTTTTTTGGGGCACCAATGGAAAACTGCTCTGGAAAGCTATAAAACTGTATGCACATAAGAATTGTCCCCTTCTGGGAAGAAGAGTTGTTCTCTTGTGCTCTGGGAAGCACAGGGCTGCCCAGGTTGGAGGACTGGGCCTGCTTCCAGGTGGGACACCACTCAGGATTGTGTTCTTCCGAAACCATGCAAGCAGTATGGGTCCAGGACTGCTGTAGGACAGGAGATCAATACTGTCTCATTGCCAGTTTGCCATGTGCAGTGTAAGAACTGAAAATGCCAGTTCCTTCTTCCTCATGGACTGGACAGTTTTGCTCCTTGACAAGAACTGTCTTTTAAATTGTTAATGCTGTGCTGTGCCTGTATGGCCGTATCTAATCTCTGTGTATGTCTACCAGGCCCTGGATTACTGTCACAGCATGGGGATCATGCACAGGGATGTCAAACCCCACAACGTCATGATAGACCACCAGCAGAAAAAGGTATGATGGCACCAGGGCTTACAAGCAGAGCTTTTCCAGTAGAGCTCAACATTCTGCTGCCTCTGTACCTGTAGCCAGACCAGCTGTGCATACCCCTCAGCCTTTTTTATCTACTTCCCTCCATTTGCATCCATGTCAGGAGGTGGCCAGAGTCCCACTGGGGAGCACTGCAGTTGGAGGCCATGGCTCTCCTCCCCAGCCAGCCATGCTGTGTATCTTTGCTGGGGGAAACAGATCTGGGCTGTTAATCTGCCTGGGGAGGTGTGGTGGTGGGGTGCAAAGACCGTAGATGGGAGAATAGTGGCCTTGTATGAAGTGCATGTGGATAACTTTACCTAGGAGACATGAGCTCCTTTTGTAGTGCAGCCTGCCCCCCCCTTATTTCTGGTACCTGCGTGTTAGATAAAAGGAAATGTTTGCACCAGGTTTACTGCCGTGGGAGTGGGCAGCACAGGGAGCTCCTCTCCCTGCTGTGGTACCTGTACCTCTCTGGGTGTTGTGTGTACCTCTGGAGGGACTTGGGATTTCCAGCAGCAAATGAGTTGCTAGTCCACAGGATCTCACTGTGTGAATCAGCAGTGGTTACCAGCTGAGGGTTTAGAAGGAGGGGGAATCTCTTACTAGATCTGTTGTCCTTCAGTAATGCAACTGGTCCTGTATCTCTGTGGCCACGGAGGAGACAGTCTGCCTTGCAAGATGTGGTGTGCTATCTCCCGTCTCCTTTCCTGCTGCCAGCCCCCAGTTAAAATCAACACTGCCTTTGGCCTGGCCCCTCTTAACAGTGGGACAAAAACAGCTGGGCTTTGCCTGTTCCCTAGTATGCAGCGTCCTGCCTGCTGTGGCTTGTGGCACTGGGATGGAGCCAGTCACCCAGCAGTGGTGGTGGTGTTTGGATTTGGGAGGCAGAGGAGCTCTCTAAGCTGGGGTCTGCCCTGCCAGCACCACGTGGTGACAAGGAGAAGGGAAGAGCACTGCTGAGAGCATCTCCTGTCCTCAGAGTGCCTCCCTGCCACCGCCCCGGCCTCCATGCTTGCAGCATGGGATTGAGAGGCTTTGGCAGACACAGCTTTGCCTAACTTGCTCATACTGAGGCTCCTGACTCTGTGTCTCTTTATCACATGTTCAGCTGCGGCTCATAGACTGGGGTCTGGCAGAATTCTACCATCCAGCTCAGGAATACAATGTCCGTGTGGCCTCTAGGTACTTCAAAGGACCGGAGCTCCTTGTGGACTACCAAGTAAGAGTCTGCCTCCTCCTTGCAAGCCAGTGATACTGCTTGTGCTTGCACTTTGGCCACTGTTGGGTTGTCTGGTTTTGCCTGTCAGGCATTGCCTGGGTTGGAAAGAGGCTTGCTGTGAAGTGAAAAGCCTGAGGTTGTCTGCTGTTGTTGGGGAGCCAGGCCATGGTGAGCATGCCTTTCTCTTGTGATGGCTTCTCCTTTTTCCCCTCAGATGTATGACTACAGCTTAGACATGTGGAGTTTAGGCTGTATGCTGGCAAGCATGATCTTCCGAAAGGAGCCTTTCTTCCATGGACAGGACAATTATGATCAGGTAAGGACTTTGGGACTTTGGTACCTAGTTTATCTAATGAGACATCTGTCATCAACTCAGCTGCATGTGTATAGTGGGGAGATTCTGGGGATTGGACCACCAGACTGGGAAGATGTTGCTGCATGCCTACTTGAGCCATCTGGGCTTGTGCAGCACTGCCTTATGTAGGACATAGTTTTCTGTGCGTGTTGCACGGAATGTTCAAGGAAGACATTCTTTCTGGGAGATTTCCCAAAGAAGAGCTGTTACAATTTGGGCAGCTCTGTCTCTGCAAGACAGTACCTAGTCCTATTTGTAGACTTCAAACCAGAAAGAAGACACAAGTTTAATAGCAATTGCTCCAGCAGAATTTATTCCTTTTTCAAGCTGTGATGGCTTACTCTTTTGCTCTCTCTTAACCTACTTTTTGTTCCAGCTGGTTCGCATCGCGAAGGTCCTGGGCACAGATGAGCTGTATGGGTATCTCAAGAAGTACCACATAGAACTGGACCCGCACTTCAACGATATCCTGGGCCAGTAAGTGGAGAAGTGAAATGCAGCCTTTTCTCTCCTTGTAACAGAGAGAGAGATGAACTAAATTTCCATCTGAAGGACTCTTATCCAAGGCCTGCTTTGATTTTCTGGATCACAGTGCTGCTTGCTGGCCTCCTAGCAGGTCACTGAAAGGCAGGCTCTTTCCTTTTGTCTCTTCCATGACCCACGAGCCTTCCTCTGTTTCTTCCCTTTCTTGCTTGTTGATGTCCTAGAAATGAAGATGTGAACACTGGAGTTGAGTGTGGGTTGAGGGGCTCAAAATCTCAGATGATTTTTCCTAAAAGGACCAGAGGCAGATGGAATAGTGAGGACAGCCTGCATGAAGCTGGCTGGCAAGCCAGAGCACTTCTAGGCCCAAGAGTCTGTGTAAGTGTCTAGTTCCTGTAGACAGAAGAGGCTTTGCAGTACAGTGCCTTTCTCAGGCTCTGGACATCCACGCAATCATGTGCCTAAATAAGAGGGCTTTTCTCCCTTTGGCAAATGGTTTGCTGAGCAGTAGCTTCTGCAAGAAAGAGATGGAGGCTGTCTCTGCCATAACAGTTTCTTCCCAGAAGTGGAGAGCAATTTCCCTGGGACCTCTCAGTTCTGCTGTGCGGATCAGAGCTGGGTAGTGACAACAGGTCCCTTTGCAGGCATTCTCGGAAGCGCTGGGAGAACTTCATCCACAGTGAGAACAGACACCTCGTCAGCCCTGAAGTCCTAGACCTCCTGGACAAGCTCCTACGATATGACCATCAACAGAGGCTGACGGCCAAGGAGGCGATGGAGCACCCCTATTTCTGTGAGTCTGTGGAACAGTGGGGCCAGCTGGGATGGAGAGAGGGTCTTGGGGGAAGTTTTGGCTCCCCATCCTGCAAAAGACTTAGCAGGTCTGTGAGTTTTAGAGGCGGTTTCTCTAAAAGGGTTTGCTGGGGTGGAGCTTCCTCTCCATTAAATGCTGTTTCCTCTTCCTCCCTGGTCTGTCTCCTGCAGATCCAGTGGTGAAGGAGCAGTCCCAGCCCAGCTCGGAAAATGCTGTGCTCTCCAGTGGCCTGACAACAGCACGATGAAGACTGGAAAACGACGGGTAATTCAAGATGTTTACAAATAAAAGCAAAACCTTCGGTCACACAGTGAAGGGAAATGAACCAAGGACCCCCCCCTTCCCCTCCCCTTTATACTCGGCAGAAATCTAACCTTTGGGGGGGGTCATAAACCTCAGTTCCTCTCTGGTGGTTGTGGTTAATGTAACTCTAACCCTGTGGTACCAAAGCCCTGGGCAAATGGTCTTGCAAGAGTTAAACATGTAGTGATATCCCCAGGGCTCAACACGACTGATTCTGGTTCACATCTCTATGGATCCTTCTCTTCCTTCTCTGTCCAGCCTTCCCCACTGTGCTGGTGGGGACAAATTGGCCGTTCCACCATCAGTCCTTAGCATGCCTCTTTCTTAACATGCCTTTCTGACTTGTAGACTCTGGGTGAACCAAATTCAGGCTGGGGGTCAGCAGGTGCAACTCTGCTTTGAGCTCCAAGTCCTACTGCTCACTCTGGGCTTGAATTTGGCCCTTGAATCCCAGTTTTAATTGCAAATGCCAGGGCGTTGGGGGGGGGAGGGGGGAGGTTCAACAAAACATAGCTCACAAACCCAGCAGCACGTCAGGATTGGGCTGGAGCATTAAAAATAAGGCACTGATTTGAGTTGCTGGGGAGAGGTGAGGTTCCCCCCTCTAGGTGTGTTTGACAAAGGCTCACTCTGAGGAGAAACTCAATAGACCTGCTTTGGAAACGTGTGAATGTGAGGGCTGCTTTTGTGGCAGGAGAGGGGAGGGACTATCCAGACTTTCCCACCAAGCTCAGGAGAGTCAGAACTGCAAGACTTCTTGTGATAGGTGTGCAACCACGTACCTCATGACGTGGCTCCCATGAGAATTCGTGCCAGACGCAGACTTGTGCCGGAGCGCAGCTCTGGAGCGGTTCAATCCAGCGCCGCAGGATAGAGGAGCGGAACAGGGGCCTGGGAGGAGAGCATGGGGTGGGGAAGGATCAGCAAACAGCAGTGTGGTCTGTCGGGGAGGGGGCTGTGCAACTACTGATCCGGGACTTGGGATCCCACGTAGTGTTTTAACAAAGTCAGCCACTTGTTGAATTCTGGGGTGCCGATCCTGTTGTGGGGGGTGGGGGGTTTGTCTCGCGGGTTCTTTCATCAGATCCCTTGATGGCTTTATAGCCCCACAATTCACAGTTGCCTCCTCTACTTGTTCTGTGTGTGATTTCATCAAGTGGTTCTGGTGATGCTCAAACCTACAAGCTGGAGATAGTGTTTTCCCACCAGCACCTAAACACAGAATTTCCTTCTGCGGCATTGTCGAAATAGTTAATTTTTTATAAGGTTGCAATGTTTCTATTTGAAACATCTGTTTACATTCCATATTCCAATAAAGTTCTATTGGCATCGATAGCAGGTCAATCCATTTGTATAATTCACTGAAACCAATAAATATCTATACGTCTGAACGTCTGCTGTCTCTAATCTGTGGGATAGCCAAAGAGCAAAGAGTTGAAGGGACTGCTTCCTCACGGAGGTCAAATTGGCTTTTCCACCCCCTTGTCTGAATGTTTGGGGATCCCTTAGTCATCAGTTTCAGGTTTTCATGGCATCAGCCCTGAGGGTCTCACTGCATTCCTGGCAGCAGAGGACATGTGAGCTGTTGGTACAACGTGGGAGTTGGCTGTTGTGTGGTTCCAGCTCTCTGTCCACCTACCCTGCTCCAGGCTGCCTGGCCTGAGGGGTGTGGGGCTGTCATGCTCAGCTAACAATGCTAGCTGTTGGTTTGGGAATTTTGATGTTGATTTCAGAACTGTTTTAAAAAAAAAACTGTTGAATTGCTCTCATGAAGTCAGAAAAGGGTACTTCTTGTGGTTTGTCCAACTTGGAGTGGGGAAAACTTGCCAGTTTCCTAGCTCTCATCTTTACCAGTGCAGAAGATGCATGAGGAGAAGACAGAGTTTGCTGGAGGAAGTTCTGTAGGTGAAAGACATTAACAGAGTGCTTGACAGTGTCCCAACCTGTTGAGGTTCTGAATAAGGAAGTGACAATTCTATCAGTCTGAACTATGAATAGAAATGCTTTCTGGATACATCAAAGCAGAGGAAAAAAAGATGCTCTTCCTAGCGGGTGGTCTGAAATGTGGGATGGCTCTCCCTGCTATCCAGCAACCTGCTCTATAACTCCACGTCCCTACACCATTCTTGGGGCAGGATAAGCTGTGACAGGTTCATCCCAGAGGGCAATGAGGCTGTGGTGCATACACTTGGTTGCTGCTCAGACCGATTCGTATCTGCATTCATCAGCCCAGTGTTCTGGACATGGACAAGTGTCATTCTGCCTGTGGGGGCAGTCGAGCTGAAGAAGTCAGCCTTAAGAAGGCTGGGGAGCAAGCATCTTCGTAGGCTTTCTCCTGGATTTGGCTACAACGATCATGCTGTGCTTTGGGCTGGTGCAGGGGATGGCTGAGCCTAGTGGGAGTGGGCAATGTGGTATAGGGCCCGGGTGTCTCCTTACCACCAGAACTGGAGGAGAGCAATGCATTGTGCAGGCAGCATCCTGAAACACTCACTTCCCTCCTCCTGTCTCTCCCCAGGTCCTGATGCTGTTGCTCCCAGTTTTCCATAAGCAGAATGAGAATCATTATCGGCGCGTGTAGAATGACAGCGGGCAGACTGTGCAGCACGGGCAGGGTTGAGTGCCTGGCTGGATGGCACTCACCTTCTAATGAACACAGCTCTTCTGTAAAAGGTTCTGCCTTTGGTTCCCCATTGATCTCTTTCTGATTCAGAAAATGTGGAAATGCGAAGGCTGTGCTAACAGTTATTGGTTAGTTGTTCCTTCCTCTGCTCTTCTGACTCTTCCAGCCTTTGACAGACCATGGTTAGCCAGCTTGCCCCTGCCAGAGCTTGGGAGCAGCAGGGGATGTAGCATCACAATGGACAGTTTTATGTTATAACTGAAATAATTCTATATTGTTAAATAAAAGTTTGGAAAGAAACATTCAAGGAAGAATATTCAGTGAGGAGGGAGCTGTGGGCAGGACTGGCCATGCTGCGGGATGCCAGCAGTGAAAGCCTTTCCCTGTGGCCTGCCACAGTGGGCTTAATGAGGAGAGCAAGAAGAGCTAGTTGTACAAAATCACCATGAGCAAAGGAAAAGGAGCCATTTGCCATCTTTAGGGACACCTCTCCTTAGACCCACGTGCTCTTCTGAAAGTGGCACGCTGGGTGCTAATGCTGGTACCTGCTTCTTCCAACCCATGGGCCTCGCTCACGGCTCTCTTCCAGCACTCCCGGAGCTCCCTTCTCTTTCTTTGCCCTGGGCTGAGACTCTCCTCCTCAGTGCTGTCACTGCAGGCAGCCTTCATTTCCAAGCCAGTGTTGAGGGGAGGATGTTAACTTGAACTCTGCAGTACTTGAAGCTCTTGTCTCAAGCCTTCTGACTGGGCTGTATGACTGCACATGGTCATTTATCTTCATCTGCCCATCTCCTTCACAGCCCATGTGATTTTTCTTCCATGCCCCAGTTACAGAAGCTGCAGAGGGCACCTCTGAGACCGGGCTCTCTGAAAGACAGACCAGTCTGCATTGCTGAATGTGAGTTTGGGTCAGGGTGACACGGGACCGCTGCACTGACCTGACCCTTCTCTGCCAAAGATCTCCAGCACATGCTGGCACTGCATCCTGCTCTCACCCTCATTTCTGCTTATCAGCTGCCCAGCTTTCTCTACCTGTCTTTTCTGACAGTTTTCATCCAGTTTTCCTCAACACCCAAAGCCACATTCACACGTTGCCTTCCCGTGTGTTGTGGCTACGCATTTCCTTCCTAATTCCCTTTTTAGTTTCCTCTTTACAGCAGCCCTTCACCCAGCTGTGCTTCCGTGGGAAAATCCAGGCTGCAGAAGATGCGTGGAGCCATCTGGACAAGGGCCAGGGTCCCACACTCCTTGCAGCAGTCATTGCTTTGCTCTCATTTTGCCGTGCATTTCAGTGTTTTTGGCTCACAGAGATACCGACTGAACTTGATTCTGGTTTTCCAGTCCAAGCGCTGTCCCTTCTGCTGGGAGTGCAGCACGAATGAGATTCTGTGCTCCGCAGTGATCAAGTGTGCTGAGAGGATGATGGTCTGTGTTACGGTTTCCCAGGCTGTGAACACAGGGCATGTGCTCCAAGGCAAGCACAGACTTGCTGATGCTAAAGAGAGCTGCTATGTTTGGCTCCGGTAACTGCACCCAGCTGTGTGAAACTTCAGAGGAGCAACATTTCAGGAGTTTCCTGAAGATCTCATTCCTCTGAAGGCGTCGGATTGCTGGGAACTCGGAGGGCAGGAAATGCTTCAGCGGATGGCTATTTTTGGAGCAGGCACCTCTGCTCACGTCTAGGACCGGATAATCCTCAGTAATGGGCCTTCTCCTCTGCGCCCTCCCCAAAATCCCGCTCCTCTGCACCTCGGGGATGAGGACTGGGGTCCCCCCGCGCCCACCGCCCGCGTCCCTCAGTGCCACGTCCCCACGGCCCTGGGACAGCCGCAGGGACGGTGCCCCCCACACCTCTCAGCGCAGCTGCGCCGCTGCCCCAGCGGGAGAAGAACGTGTTCCTGCAGCGGGAGTCAGACTTCCTTCAAGCACACTGAGATGTGAAGGCAGTTAGAAATTACAGCACGTTTCCAGCAAAAATCAATATTAAAATGGTGAGTGGAGACCGCGCGGACGCCCACGCTGCTCACAGCCGCGGCCCGCCCTCAGTGAGGCCCGCGCGGCAGCAGCAGGCCCGGCCCGCGGCGCCGTTGCCATGGCAGCGCCCCCGGAAGTAGATCGGCAGCGCCCCCGGAAGTAGATCCGCCGCGTGGAAAGTAGTTCCTTGGTGACGGCGCTGTGGTTCCCGGAAGCGTCTGACGGCGGCGGCGGGGCGGCGCGGAGGGATTCGCGGGTACCGCCGTGTCCTTCCGCCACCGCTGTGTCCTTCCGCCACCGGCCGTGGTGGCGGCGCGCTGCTCCCGCAGCCGCCATGTTCAAGAACACGTTCCAGAGCGGGTTCCTCTCGGTGCTCTACAGCATCGGCAGCAAGCCGCTGCAGATCTGGGACAAGAAGGTGCGCGGCGGAGCGGGGCGGGCAGAACATCACCGGGAGGGCCGCGAGGAGCGGGGCGGCGCCGTGCCGAGAGCGGCGCCGTGTGCGCGGGGCGGGCACCGCAACGCGGCTCTGAGTGCCGGGCGGCCCCGTGCGGAGCTGCGGCTCGGTGACCCCGCGGGTCCGTCCCAGCACCCCGCGGCGCGGTGCCCTGATGGGCCGCCCCCAGGGGCGCGCAGCTGCTTGCGGTGGGTTTGTTAGGGGCGTGCCTCGGGCCGGCCGAACTGCTCCTTATTGGCGCCCGGTAACGGCCGCGGGGCGTCCGCAGCTGCTGCAGCGCCGACGGCCCGGCCCGCTTCTGTTTGCGCGTGGTTGCTCGCGGCGCTCAGCCTGCCCTGCAGCATCCAAGGCCCCTTGGCACAGCGCGGGGATGCGCTCAGGTGTGACTGCGGGAGCTCATCAGCTCCCTCTTGTTTTCTCCCAGACTCGCCTCTGGACGAGGAAGGCGGCACGAGCAGCTCGTGCTTGGCTGCGCCTCGCCACGACGGTGTGACGAGCGCCGGGTTCCGTAGCACCGCGCGTCCCGATGCCCCGCGCATCCCCGCGCCTGCTGTGAGCGTTGGTCGCAGCCGGCTTTTTTTGGCCCTTGCTGCCAGCACCGATTCAGCAGCGATCCTCCAGAGGTCGGCCTCGCGCCGTCCTGGCTCGCTTTCCTCTGGGCTTTGTTATGTCGGAGCGTTGCCAGCAGCAACTGCAGCCTTAAGGAATAACGTCTGTTCAGAAATAATTCTCTGTGAAGCTGCCTCCCCCTCGGGGCTTCGGGGTATGCGACTGCAAAATGAGCTTTTTCAATTCATCCTTAGACAGCAGATAGTTTCCTGCTCGATCCAGAGGGCATTAGAAGGAATTCTGTTTTCTGAGGAGACCTCTACCCTGTCTTACAGCTCCAGAAATCCGCCTGCTAAGGCTTAAGCCTCAAGCTGCTGTCACGCTTGCAGTGTCTCTCTGTCTGTCCTGCAGGAGCTGGTGACGAACGTGGGCCTGCCTGTGTTATCTGCAGCTGGGTGCAGCTCACAGAGTTTATGCTGGTCTGGGAGGAGGGCCTCTGCCTGCCTGCATTTCTACCAACCAGCCTCTTTTCTGGTGTTTTTCATCCTCTTCCTGGTAGTGCTGAGGAAGACAAGTTGCTTCTTTTTGTTGTAGCTGTAATCTGGAGAAGGAAAGCCTTCCAGGTCAGGTGGAAGGTGACCTGGTCGCAGATGGAAAATGCTGAGTGATCGGTTCTAAACATGCTTAGCTGCCTGCTCTGTTACTGACCTCTCTGGAGGGGCCACACCTGGGCTTTTCTGTACAGAGCTGTAAACCACTGGTGGTGAGTGTTGCTATGGTGGTTTGGTTACTGCTGTTGTCACCTGCTGCAGGGTGATTTCCCGGTGTTAAGTCAGCATGCTGTGCCCTTGTGGGCTCCTGGCTTTAATTTCCTTTATGCCAGCTGCTGCTTTAATAGAGGCACGTGGGGCTTCTGCTGGGCTGATGATTTAGAGGGGAAAAAAAAGTCACTGGGGAAAAACCAAGAGATGCAGACCTTATGGGATTGGTTTTTCCCAAGTGACCTGTAAGGCCATGACAGCTGCATTTAACACAAAGGAGAGATATGGTTATCTCATAAGGAACCCCTCTTTGAGCTTAATGCTTTCTGGAATTAGCAGAGCTAGAAGTGGTCTGCCAGGGCAGGCTGCCATCCAGCACTTCCCAGCAGTGGTTGGGTGATGCAGACGGGGGTTTCATGCACAGATGGGGCAGAGTGGTGGGCTGCTGCCAGGGCTCCTCTTCCTTCCTGCAAACTCCTGCAGCGTTGCCTAGGGTAGGTCCCTGTGGAGATATGAACCTTGAAGATGAACTGCTAAATTTGTCAATCGTTTTGTAGTTCCTGATTGGAACCATCCCTTTAGGAGCTGAATGTATCCTGGATATTAGCAGCAGTGATAGGTGCTAAGGAAATTAATTTATGAAATCGGAAGGAGCATTGCAATTTGCTGATTTAGCACTGAAGAAGAGCAGAAGGCTTAATTAGCAAAAGTGCCTTTTAAATTGAGATAAATTTGATGGGATGTGAGCTGCTTCATTAAAGACATAAATCCTCAGACCCTGGGATTCAGCCATGTTGCTTATGGAGAGAACTGAGTTTGTGTTGGCTGTGGGTTGCTGCGTGACCTCCCTGAGCTCTGGGAGGCTGTGCCCCTTAGCAGGGCAGACCTGGGCTTTGAGCTTGTGTGCTCTGTAATGGAAGAGTCTGAACCAAGCTCCCACCTGGTCCTGCTCTGCTACAGAGGGGCCAGCTGTGCCCAGCAGTAGAGCCCTACACCCTTTGGTAGCTGCCTGGTGGCTTCATTTGCTTACATCTCTGTTGCTCATACTTGGTTGTACCTCTTATCGCACTCTGGATTTGCTCTTGCTTGCTCTGACGTTTTTCTGTTTGTTTATTTGGGCGCCTTACACGAAGCTTGAGTCACCCCTGTTCTCTGGAGAGTGTTTGGATAAATCCAAGTCTGTACAGCATGCTTGGCCACGGACACTTGCTCAGAGCCTTGGCACTCTGGGGTGAGGATTAAAATCTTGGAAGCATAGATGTCCGGAGCAATAGCAGCCAAGTAAATGTAGATGATCCTCTCAGGGTCTTTTTCCCCTTGCTCATGGAGCTGTGGGTGTCTTGTGTTTCCCTCTCCACTAACAGCTGTGCTGTCTGCCTGCTCCTCTTCCAGGTGCGCAATGGCCACATCAAGCGGATCACTGACAATGACATCCAGTCACTGGTGCTGGAGATTGAAGGAACAAACGTCAGGTAAGGGAAGGCTGCTTTGGCCCTTGGCAAGTCCTGAGAGCTTGTCCTGGAGCTGAGTGTAGGTGTAACTGCCGGCTATGGAGAAAGCAGCCCTCTGCCTTCTGCATCTTTCATGTCTTAGGCCTGCTCTGCTGCTCTGCCCACGTGACAGCTATTCTGACAGCAGACCGGAGGGCAAGAGAGAGAGATATATGAGGGGAATTGCTTATGGTGCTTCACTTAATCACGTTTTCCGTGTCAGCTGGAGGAGGAGACGTGGGCTCCTGTGGCTGCAGGCTCGGCATCCCCACAGCCACGCTGCTGTGGTGTGGTTTGGAGCAGGGTGCTCCTTATAAGGGCAGTGGAGTCTCCTCTCCTGCAGACAGGCTGTGCCAGCACTGCTCTTCCTCCCAAGATGTGTTGATATAGAACTTGCCAGACATGACGTGTGCTTTTAGGGCTCATGACCTTTGTCTTTCCAGCCATATACAGCACGCAGGCCTTCTGCCGTGCTCTGGAGGACTCTACCTGTTCATTTAAAGAGCTTGTATTAAGAGACAGTGCTGACATAGCCTTGAAACAGTATTCAGGAAGGTGTTTCATGCCCTAGGTAGGAAAAGTAGGATTTGAAATGCCTTCTTTGGGCCTTTCAGTTTGTTCTCCCTGAAGCTTTGTCTGAAACTCTCCCTCTTGATGCAGGAAGCCCTGCTGGTTGTTGAGATCTCAGCTGTCTCTTCCTACCTGTCCTCCAGGATTGCATTAGATCAAGTGAAAGGCGTGGGACTTGGACTGTGTGCTTTGTGCCACGTGAGATCCTAAAGCATCTTTCTGTCTTTCTCAGTACCACGTACATCACGTGCCCTGCTGACCCAAAGAAGACCCTGGGCATCAAACTGCCTTTCCTAGTGATGATCATCAAGAACCTGAAGAAGTATTTCACTTTTGAAGTGCAGGTGAGGAAGGCAGGGTCCAGAGACCAGTAAGGTGGGCGTGAGGGGGCCAACACCCCGACCTCGGTGTCAGCAGCCTGCCTTCCTTGCCCCAGGTGCTCGATGACAAGAACGTACGCCGGCGCTTCCGGGCGAGTAACTACCAGAGCACAACACGAGTGAAGCCCTTCATCTGCACCATGCCCATGCGGCTGGACGACGGCTGGAACCAAATCCAGTTCAACCTCTCAGACTTCACGCGCAGGGCTTACGGGACAAATTACATTGAGACTCTGAGAGTTCAGGTAAGAAGCAGTCACGTCCTGCACGTAGAAACCAACGTGGCAGGCTTCCTGCTGGTTGGGACGGCCTTGCTGGGAAGCAGGAATCCAAGCTGAGCCCCATTTGGTTCCTTTGCAGTGCCTTTTCTCGCTGAGGATGCGTAGTTTGGTTCTTATGCTGGCAATTCACATTTTCTGTATTGAGTGGCATGTGTTATTTTGACTGTGCCTGTTCCTCAGTACGACTGCTGCAGTGCCTCGTGGGGTTGCCCTCAGATCAGCAAACTGCTGACCTGGGAAATGTCAGGCTTCTCACATACCCACGAGGGGACTGGAGCGACTCCTTCAGCTGGTAGCAGAGGCAGTGCAGCCTGGACAGTCTGATTCCCAACCTCAGGAAGCCCTACAGAGGGAGTGCTTCAAGTGCAGCAGGCTGAGTGTCCTCCTGGCTAATGCTGATACAGTGGAGAAGTAGAAATGGGTTCACAGCCAAGAACACTCTGCTACTAAGCAACTAAGATGGGTCTCTGTTTTGTGGAGATGGCAGAGTTTGGCCATGCTTCCTGAGACAGCCTATGTCAATGGAGAGAGCAGCTAAGAAAGTAGAGAGCTGGTGTTTTTTCTCTGATGTCCCATTAGATTCAGAGAGTTCATGAGGTCTCCTGGAAAGACTCAGGCCAAAACTCTTCTAATGGAGCAGCCAGAATGTCTCCTTCCTTGCAAAACAAAGAAGGGTGTTTGCTGACTGGTTAGTTCTTTGTTTCTGTGATGATGGAGAACAGCTGGTGTGCTGTGGCACCTTGCCTCCAAACCTGCAATAGATGGTGCTGGGGCAGGAGGGAGACCACTCAGCAGCAGCGATCAGGCTGTAAGGGCTCATGCAGGCTGCTGAGCTGGGGAATCCAAACTGCTGCATGATGGCAAAGCTGGATGTGGGGACAGCAAGTGGAAAAAGGAGCTGACTCTATTGTGACTCATAGATCCACGCCAACTGTCGCATCCGACGGGTGTACTTCTCTGACCGGCTGTACTCTGAGGATGAGCTCCCAGCTGAGTTCAAGCTGTACCTGCCTGTCCAGAACAAGGCCAAGGTGAGCCAGCTGTGGGGAAGGAGGGTGGCAGCAGCACCGGGACCAGGCAAGCATTTCTCTTCCCCTGCTGTCTTTACAATCCAGAGTTTCTTCTGGGAGCAGAGTTCTCTCCAGCTTTGGCCTGCAGCCAGGGAGCACCCTCTCTATTTCCAGGATGAGCAGTTTGTCCGGTGGCTTGCTGAGTGGCTTTCCTGCCAAAGCACATGGAAGTTGCCATTCCCACTCAGGAGCAGGGAGAGCTGTGCAGCTGTTCCCCGCACCCTTCCCGTTTGTGCTGGAGGGTGCTGGGCAGAGCAGCAGCTTTCTGGCATCTCCTGGGAGCTCTTGCCTGTGACTCAGCACTGTGACTTTGCTGTTCACAGCTAGCTGCACCTTCTTTGTCAGGGCCAGGCTTTCCCAGTGCAAACACTTGTTTTAGCAGGGAATATTCCTGGATTATTTCAAGGATCTGAGGTGGGAGGCCCTGATCTTAGTGGGAAGTGGAAGGCAGTGTTAACAGAAGGTCACACCTCTGAGGAATCCATCACAGCCTTCTGGGATGAAGTGGCCTCCCAGAAGTGTTCAGGGAACTCACAATGCCTTCCCAGTACAGTCTTCTTGGTGCCATCTGAATGCTGTGTGTGTACTAAGTGTCTCCTTTCTTCTCCCTGCTCTGTCCAGCAATAACACTATATTGAGAAGAGACACAAGAAATGTTTCGAGTCAAAAAAAGCAGGTGAAGGAGAAAGTCATGCTGAGACCAAGTTTTCTGTCAGCTCACCTTGCCTAGGATAACTTTGATTCACCCAATATCCTCTTCTGGACAGGACACAGTTAACCACATAGCAGGTCTGGGACTATGTTGTTGGTGTGCGAATCCTACAGAATCAAAGTTTTCCTACTAACTGTTCCTAAAGTGCTGAGCCTAAACACTGCAAGTGGCATGGTTCCTGATCTCGTGTTGCTCAAAGTGGCCACTGCCCCTCTGAACAGAGGATTCGGCAGGAATTGCAGTTAAGCGTGCCCTCTTGAAGATACCAATTTTATCTTCCTTTCCTTGTTTTCCATCTCTTATTTTATACACACTCTAAATATGGATGTAATACTCATTCTTGGAAAGTTATTAAACATTTGACTGTTTGTAAGTCTGCTTCTGTCATTTTCCTCCTTTGATGGGCCCTTCAACTCATAGGAGTTTGCACTTAGAGGGTGCTGAGGAGTTTCCATAGGAACCCAGATGTTAAGATTTGCCTCTGAATTTGACTTTGGCAGCCTTGCTCTTTAAGGTTGTGGACAGCAGTGATGTGGAGAGAGGAAAAGCAGGAAGGTTTCAGTAGAGGAGATGGGATCTGTCTGCCGTGGCTTATTCCAATTCATGAGCTGGTGTTAATTGACCTGTGACAAAACCCATGCTGTTCTCTTCTGGTACACGGAAATGGGTTTTTCATTCCCTGCCTACTTGAAGCCATTTTCCCAGCAGTGACAAATTGGTCTTACCTGCCTGTTAAACTGGCACAGTTCTGATAGCTGTGTATTTAAACAACTCCTGCTCTCAGCCAAGCCTTTAGCAGCTACTTATAGCAGAAAGCTCACAATAGCCTTCCAACTGCCAAATTGTCCCCTTCCCTGGGGATCAAAGAGGAGGTTTAGCAAAGAAGCATAATAGAAGCGAAGCAGCGAAGCGGAAGTCTTTTCCTGTTCTGAGCCTGCCCTTCCCTGCCTCCAACCAATTCGCCTTTGTTGTGGAACGGCGTGCAGAGAGGAGGCTGCAAACCTCCACCAGCAATGGAGAAAGTCCCGGAGAAGCTGATGCCTTTCCTCCCTGGGGCCGGGTCCCAGCAGCTGTGCAGGTGGGTGTGCACCCACCACAGGGGTCAGTCCCTCCCTGGTGTTGGGCTCTGTGTGAACTGGGATTTAGTTATGTTGTTGTCCTGTGAAACAAAGCTGGTGTCCCCTGGAGGAGAGCATGCTGGGGGACATCTGCCCTGAGTCTGCCCCACATTGTGTGTTTAGTCCTGGTTTCAGGACTTGGAATGACCATTTACCTTCAGTCCTGTATAAGGGCCCCGCTTGTTCAGCTGCTTCTTGTGTCACCTCCCATGCACCTGCCTTGTGTGCACCTTGAAGGTGGTGTGACTGGAAAGGGAGGTGCTGACCCTGTGCTGCTGCTTGGTGCTAAATGGCACTTGCAGGAAGCTTTCTGGTGAAAGTCTTTCTCATTTCTGTAGCAGCTAAACAGCTTGGTGGTTCCAAGGAAGCCCACATGGGAAGGCACCATCCGTCTTGCTCAGATGTCTGTCAAGGCTTGGCTGGGCTTAAGATTCGTTAAGTGGAGTCATGCTGTATCATGTGCCAAGGATTGGCCTTAATGAAGTCTATGACCAGGCTCTCCTGACAGGATTTCAGTGCCTGCCAGGCGTGGGGGAGAAGGCCAGCCTCAGCTGCCGAGGGAATCCATCAAACCCTGGCAAGTGAAGCATCCCTTCCCACCAGCCCTTGCTCAGAAGCACATTTCCAGGAGTTGCCATTCCCAGCCCTGCTGGGTCCATGCTGGTCATCGTCCCTCATCCACCAGGGATTTGGGATGGCGCTGGGTGAGTGACCTTTGTGTGTTCACACAGGCATCCCTGAGCTGGCTGCTTCTGTGCAGGGATTGTGCTGAGCCCTGCTGCCAATTCCTGCCCGGCTCCAGGAGCTGTGCCAGCTCCCTGCCTGACCCTTCCAGCTCTGTGGGCTCTCTGCGTAGTTTTTAAGATGAAGCCAAATAGGGAATCTTCCTGTTTACACACTGCACAAAGTGGAGCATCATCAGATACTGGCTCTTTCCTGTACAGGCTGATGGTGATGAGTTTACAGAATGCAGTTCAAAGCTATTCTATTTTAATCCTGCTCTCCCATCAAAACTTTAACTATGTCACTGACATGGAGGCAGGTGAAATTGGGATGTTCTGCCCGCAGGAGAAGAGGATGCTGCTGGCAGATGGGCAGGAATATCCCAGGAACTGTGTCAGCAGTCACTTTCTAGAGTGAACATGCATTAGCAAAACTCCTGTGATGAAGGGCCTGGCTTTTTGCTGCTTTGCATATGGCTTTGGCCAACCTGGATGCAGCGTGCCCCAACGTGGGAGGAGTGGAAAAAGGAGATGTGCAGAACCTCAGCGAGGACCCAACCCCAGGATGGCTGCTGTGTGTACTGCGAGGCAGCCCCAGCTCAATGCAGGGAGTGGGCAGGGGGGTGGGGGATCCTGCGGAGAGCAGCTCTGAACTATCTCCTGCTCCTTCACCTTTCTGTGGGTGGCCTGCTCCTTCCTTCCTGCCTGAACCCATACTGTTTTTTATGGTGGGAGAGAAAGGAATCTCTCTTCTCAGGGAGCCCTTGGAAAGTTTCAACCTGGGGTGGAGCGGGTGCTGATGAGGTCCAGAGAAGAGCTTCCCTCGCCTCTGCAAGCTTTTCTCCTTCCTCTACTGGTTGGGATAAGGTCATGTGAGTGAGCACTTTGAGCATGACGTGAGCACCCCGAGCCTTCTTTCTAAATCAAAGGCAAGGCTTTCCCTTGCAATCTTGATTCCTGAAGGATGCCAAATGCACGTGTTGCTGCACCTGAGAGCAAATCTGGGGAGCTGAGCGAGGGAGCAGAGGTGCTGGGAGTGAGCAGGAGCAGAGCTGAGCAGCACTGGGCTGTGTTGTGCCATCCCAACACCTTGCCTCGCAGGGAAGTGTCTCATTTGCTTCTGATCCAAACATGGATGCTATATCCAGGAATTAACATCTGAGCCAAGCTCAGCTTCTTGCCCTTTTTGCCTCTGTTTTTTCATCTCCCTGGATGTCATGGGCTAAACACTGCCCTCTCAATGGGGGGATTACACCTCTGGGGCAATGCTAATCCTCTGCAGCTGTTTTCCAGCATGGGGAGGGTGGTGCTGGAGGCGAGGGAAATATTTATTTTGAGTTTTGCTATTGGCCACTGCCCAGGAAAAGTGAAGGGCCGTGCTGAGGACTTTGGCCACTTCTGCGCAGCGGGAGAATGGTGCCAGAGGTGAGGGCTTCCCTTGGCACCCTGTGCTGTGGGACCACCCAATAAGGTTTTATTTGGATGAGGGAACAGCTGTGCGCCCTGACTGCTGCCCCTGGCACAGGATGGGGGAAGCCATGGATGTGACAACAGGCAATGAGTTCATTGCCTCCCATGGCTGCAGCAAGCTGCTTTTCAGGAGCCCCATGGCCTCGTGGCTCTTCCTTCTGTCCTCCCCCAGCAGTGTTTCCTCTGGCCTTGAGGCGGCGGTCAGCGGGGCTTGGCGGGGCCTGGCCCCAGCTCTTCCTCTCTGGCTTCCTCTCTGCTTTCCAGGTCCTCTCCCCGCAGCACGCAGGGGTCTGTGCCCTGCTCTGTGTCCTGCAGAGGAAGAAGAGGGCGGAAGCTCCTCCTGGTCATGCTGTGGGGCACGTGGGCCATATTCCTTCCCTTCTGCCTGTAGCAGAGCAGGGTCACAGTGCTGAGCGGGCAGCAGTGAGTCTCTGCTAGCATCACCCCCAGGAGAAGGTTGCTTGCGGGCTGTGGGATGCTCTGTTCAGTGGCTGGGGTTCCCCCTGCAGATGGAGCTCACTGCCCTTAGAACAGTGTGGGAAACTGAGGCAGAGAGAAGGGCACTGGCACTCATTTCCCTGTATGTGCTGCTGCTGCCTCTCCTTTGTAACTCTCAGCACCCTGCAGGCTCTGCTTATCAGCTGCAGCTAATTATACCTTGCCCTTCCCTGGGTGCTGTCCCTGGGCTCAGCACCATGGTCTCTGGAACTGGCTGCCAGCATGTGGGAAGGGGCAGTGCAGCCACGTGTCTAGAAGCCACAGGTTCTGGTTCTGCCCCCACTGTGGCAGGGGGATGTGGATGCAGGATGGCTGGGGCTGCACTTTGTGCCAGCCCAGGGTCTGCAGGGCAGAGCAGGGGGTGCCAGCCACCCCATCCCAGCAAGACGCTGAGCTCTGGGCGTTCTCCAGCCTATTTTGGGAATCTGGGGCTGCCTGGGAGGTGGATCCTGGCAGGGTGCAGCTGAGCAGGATGCCTGCTCCCCAGGCACAGGGAGGTGCTGGGAGGGGCGAGGAGTGGGGCTCCTGCTGGGGTCCATCCCTGCGCTCCCCAGGGTCTCATGCACAGTGCCCAGAGGCCATGCAGAGCCAGCAGAGCCTGAGCTCTGCCAAAGCCTTTGTCTCTGGCGGGGTCCCCGGCTGCTGTCAGTGAGTGTTTCCAGATGGCCCCGGGCTCCTGGCACCAGCTCTGCTGCAGCATCCGGGGAAAAGCTGGGGGTGGGCAGTGACATCCCTGCAGAGAGCAGGGCGGCCAGGGCCCTGCTTCCCCCAGCTCGCTCCCAGCCCCGAAGCAGTGGTGAGACGCTGCCCCAGGAAGGAGATGCCACAAACATCCTTGGGCAGCTCCGCAGCGACTCTGGGCACCGGGCTTTGGTGACTGCCCTGCACCCCACCGAGCCCCACCAGGAGTGAGGAGAAACGCAGCTGCTGTGGGAAAGGCATCCACCATGGGAAACAGCAACTCCCAGCCACATGTCCTGCCGCCGCCTCCGCGCCTTTTGGCTGGGGTCATCCCTTGGGGTCCCGCCGTGCTGGGGGACGTTGGCTGGGCACGTGAGCTGCCTGCAGGGTCTGCCTGGGGGTGTCCTTGGCTCTGGCACTGGGCCCTAGAGCGGTGGGAGAAACACGTTTGGTTGCAAGGGAACTGCTGTGGGGTTTGTTTCGTTTGTTTGTTTCAGTTTCCTGGGCCGGAGCCATAACAGCTAAATCAGGAGGCCTGACCTCGGAGGGCTGCCATCACTGCCTCCCAGCACAGCCCCCCTCGGATATGGGGGAAATGGAGAGCAAACCCCACAAGCAGTGCCCCAGCAGGGCCAGGCAGGTGGAAATCAAGGCAGTGGATTCACCTGGGGCACTTTTCCCAGTGTTTCTTTGTCCCCAGTGCTGTTGTCTCCTGGGGCTGCAGTGCTGCACTAAGTTCCAGGGAATGGAGCACGTGCTCGGGTGGCACTGCCCAGCTCCAGCAGGCAGGGATGGGGTCAGGGGTAGGGTGTCCTCCACCACGAGGCTCCCCAGTGCTGTGGGTGGCAGCCCAGGGAAGAGAGGCGAACGCTGGCACCCCTCCT